AAGGTAAGATCCAGTACTTGGAGAGGAACAGTAAAGGAGGAAAAAAAAGTAAGCTCAGTGGAAACAATGCAAGCATCAATCCTTGTACTCCACTGGAGTAATGGAATTGTATTATCAGGAGGTTTTTACAATTCCATCCTTTGGTATATGTTTAATAGAGTTTATCGCTCTGTGTGCACTCTTTGTTTCAAGATCAATGGCAAAATGTTAGAAAGTATTCTGTCTTACTTTGTATGGGATTATTACGGCTGAGGCTCTTACAGGCTCTTCTTTTCATCAGAAGGATCTCAAAGCACTTAATATAGTCATGGATCACTTCATTTAGTGTTGAAATTCAGCCAACATTAAAGCGATCCATTCAGCATCAGTGAGCAACTATATATCTACACCAGTGTTTCTCAACCAGTGGTACAAGTACCCTTAGGGATACGCGAGAGAAGTCTGGGGGGTACGTCAACACAACTGAAATTTGGAGAAAACTGAATTTTTGGTTTAAGTTTTACAGCTCTTTATTATTTCTGTACTTTTTACACCCAAAAATTTCATCTCCTGCTTGGCTATGATTAAGTTGTTTAAACAAAGTGTAGCAATGGAAGAAAAAATTGTGTGTGTCTGAAAACTGCAGGTATTGGAGTTACTTATAATTTTTTTCTTTTTGAAAAAGGGGCACTTTATAAAAAAAAAAGGCTGCGAAACACTATAGAGTTTTGTTAGAAAAAAAGGATGTTTTTCTGATAAAACTTGAGGAATGTCCACAGTGCAATTGCATTTTTCCACAAGAAAATCAAAAGAACACAGGGTACGTCTACACTACAACGTTAATTCGAACTAACTTAGTTCGAATTAGTTAATTCGAACTAAGCTAATTCGAACTAACGGATCGATTCATTAGCAATTTCGGTTGCCTACATTTGCAACCCTAGTTCGAAATAGGGTTCAAGTGTAGACATACCCTTACAAGAAAAAAAACAAATGGTCAGGTAGCACTTTATAGACTAACAAAACATGTAGATGGTATCATGAGCTTTCGTGGGCACAGCCCTCTTCTTCAGATAAGCTTGAATGGAGAAAAAAGGGGGACTCTCATAATTTATAACAGAAAAAGAAGGGAAAGGGGGAAAGTTCCTGTCAATTGTAGCACCAGTGCTAATGAGCTTAATTGAGTGGGCTGGAAGTGTCCCATACTTAGCTTTTGATGTCAATGAGGTGTTAAATGGTTTTATAAAGCAAAGACACTAAAAATCATGGACTGAATAGGGATGCAGTGTTTCTAGCTTTATTACAAGAGTCTGTAATGACCTTCTCCCAACTCTTTCTTCCTATGACTGAAGGGGTGTTAACAGGGCACTTGACCTTGAATGTTCTTGTGAAAGATGTGTTAACTACTTATACTAAACAATCTGTTCAAACCTTGTACTTAGCAGTGGTAACACTTTCAGTTAGTTTCCCAGACTGTAAGAAGATCTCTGGTAAGTGTGAAAGCTTGTCTCTCTCACTAACAGAAGACAGTCCAATAAAAGATATTACTTCACCCACTTTGTCTCAATATTTGATTATATCCCTCTTCCTCACTCTTTGTATGTCATTTATCATCTTCAATTTTAAGCTCTTCAGGCCGAGACATTTTATGTTTTTAATACTGCCTACCAGAATGTGGTTCTGATTCTAACTGATGCCTCTGGGTACTACTGCAATATAAATACTAAATTATAAGTTTAAATATTCTGATAGTGATAAATGATCCAGATTCTGGATTGTTATTTGTTGGATAATACTGTAGATTTGTTTCCTCTATGCCAGTACAAAAATATTAGAACATCACAGACTCAAAAGATGACTTCATCAATGAATTTTGGTCTTTGAGCAAAATTGAAAATGAATATCAGTCTTACACAAATCATCTCTTTGTTGTTTGTACTGTATTAGTTCTTCAGGTCTCTGATGCTGAATGTTCCAGCTTGCGCATTAAAAACTGTGTGGCTGTAGCAGCAAGAGCAGCATTCACCTTAGTGCAAACACATCTCAGTTTCCTAAGTACATGTGGCTAGCCTGAGCTACTATCCACTATACCCCTGGAGATTTCCCATGATGGGAAGCACAGTCCTAGCTGAAGAGTAGATATACACTAGGGCTACGTCTAGACTGGCCCCTTCTTCGGAGGAGGCATGCTAATTTCTAACTTTGGAATAGGGAAATCCGCAGGGGATTTAAATATCCCCCACGGGATTTAAATAAACATGGCCACCGCTTTTTTTCCGGCTTGGGGAAAAGCCGGAAAAGAGCGTCCAGACTCGCGCGATCCTCCGGAATAAGCCAGAGTGGCCACCAGGGAAACCTGGGGAGGGCTAGCCTCCCACTAGTTCGAATTAAGGGTCTACACAGCCCTTAATTCGAACTAGTAAGTTCGAACTAGGCTTAATCCTCGTGGAATGAGGATTACCTAGTTCGAACTAAGCGCTCCGCTAGTTCGAATTAAATTCGAACTAACGGAGCGCTAGTGTAGCGCCTATGAAAGTTAGTTCGAACTAACGTCCGTTAGTTCCAACTAACTTTGTAGTGTAGACATACCCAGAGGGTTTTTTCCAGCATTGGTAATCTTCATTCTGTGAGGAAGAAGCCTTTTTGCGGGTACTGTGAGCCTTTCCCAACCAGCAGACCTTGAAGTTGGTGAAGCATCCATGTGGTCCATGAAGGCCTGAAGCACTATTGAGAAGTACCCCTTCCTGTTCATATAGTCCAAGGCACAGTGGTTGCTGGCCAGGATGGGGATGTATGTGACATCTATGTCGTCTCTCACCCCATAGTTAGGGAAGCCCATGGCAGCAAAGCCATCCATGATGACCCTCCATATCAGCACATTGTTAATGGCCTTGGCTACCTGCAGAAGCATGGACCCAACTATGGATTTCGCCACACTGAACTGGTTCCCAAAAGACCAGTGGCTGTCCAGTCTGGCGAGCTTCCATAGGGCGTTGATGACACACTTCTGTAGGAGGATGGCAGGTTGCAGTCTGGTGTCCTGTCACCTGACAGCAGGGATGAGCCATTTACAGAGCTCCTGGAAGGTGGCCTTCTGCATATGGAAGTTCTGGAGCCACTGCTGGTCAGCCCATAGCTGCATGATGATATGGTCCCACCAGTTGAAACTGGTCTCACTCCACCAGAAGTAGTGTTTGATGGTATTCAGGGGATTTAGGGGCATTTGCAGCAGCTGTGTGCCAGGACCTGGCTGAGGAGGTCCTCCAGTTTGGGCTTGTCATTGTCCTGCTGGAGCAGCATGTGGACAGTTTGGATGAACTGAGACATGAGGCACAGCATGAGGCCCGTGAGCCTGGCACTGCTTTGCAGCAGCTTCAGCTCCGTGTTGTCAGTGCTGTGGTATTTGCAAGGGCAATTAGAGCACACTGCGTCTGGTGTCCCACGAACAGGGAGGCAGTGGAGAAGTGGAATGTGACCCACAGCCATAGAAAGGAGCCCGAGAGCACGCATCGCAGCTTGCTTGACCAAGCAACCACAGGAAATATCTGTCCTCTTGGTGCCCTCTATGGAGTACTTCTGGGGGTCTAAATCTGAGGCAGGCTCCAATCAGTATGGATGTGTTATTTTGAAATAAATCTGAGCAATTTCAGTGCTCCCCTGACTGTGGATGCACTCATTTAATTTTGTTATTTCAGGAGTTATTTCAAATTTACTTATTTTGAATTTATTTCCTATTGTAGACATGCCCCGAGAGACATGATATATATGGTAATAATGTGTATTAAAGTAGCTTTCCTGTTGTGGGGCTCTTTTCTTAGTCTATATCTTAATTCACTAAATAATACTAATACTTAGCACTCGTAAAGCCTAAGTGCTAACAAGCTACTAAATTAAGTTCTCAGACTTCACCAAGGATCAGCATGAGGTCCCAATAAAACAAAATGAAAAGGTTATTAAACTCTATTAAATTAATGATATGACATTGACTCTGGATCACACACCTCAGTAGGAGTTGACCTGTGCTTTTACGTGAAAAAAAAATATTGGGCCATTTATAATCTTTTCTCTTGCATTCAGAATACAGAATTAGTGGTCCCTGTTGTGTATCTATAAAGGAAACCCTTTTAACTTCCTAAATAAGCAAAATACTTAAAGAAAAATATGCACTTAGATGCTTTAATGAATAGGAATTGATTTATGCATATGCTTAACATTAAGATCATGCTTCAATGCTTGTCTGGAGACACAAATGCAGAATACACAAACTTCTATTTCACCTGTTATATTATAAAAGAAGAAGGATATGATTTCCACAAGCCTTCTATTGAAAGCTGCCAAAATTCCTAATAGGCCTTAAAGGTTATGGAATAGGGTCTACAAAAGTACTTTCTAAGCAATCATGTCTGCCACTGTTTCTGCCCTCTGTGATGGAAAAAAAAGGTTGAATATTATTGAATATGACAATAACAATTTGCTTTCAATTTCCAGTGGGAAGGAGCCTTTTGCAACCAAACAGAATTGATGTTTATTTTAGGCTCATTATTCTAAATTTAAGGGACAGCCTGTCAAATAGTTTAAACCACCATTCTGATCTATATTAAATTATTATAACCTATTAGGTCTTGTCCTCATGTGTGAGTATGTGTGTGTATGTGTGTGTGCAGATTTGTGTGTATTTAAAGTATTCTGCATTGTGTGACTGAGACAAAACAAACAAATAGATTCCATTGATATAAAATCTAATTTAATTAAATATTGTGTTGTTAAACCTGACTAAATCAGATAACCACTGAAGCACAGTTAATAACCCTGAAATACAGGTGGCTCTTATTTACAACATATAACCTCACTGATTTTGATAGAACAAGAAAAAAATAAGGTCAGATTTGAAGCTCTTATCCTTATATTGTAATGCTAATATCAATAATGCTCAAACACAGAGCCAGATTCTGATCCCATTGACAGAAATAAAAAAAAAATCTGGAATTTTTCCTTAACTCCTCTGAAGCAGGTAACTGAGATCAGACCACATACCAGAGAATTTAATAAAGTGGAAATCATGTGGTGTGAGTTCCAGGAACAACAGAGGTGAAAAAGAGAGAAATCAATGATTACCAAAAAGACAAAAAACAGCCAGGGTAGAAATGTTATTTGCAAGCTTTTAAGACAGTATCATAAATAATGAAGAGTAGAAAACAAAATTAATAACTATAAAATGTACCTGGCAGTACCTCTTTAGAATACGTTTCTAAGCAGGCAGCTTTTGATTTGATGAAAAGAGATGAAATTTTTATTGAAGAATATCTAGCAAGAGCAAAAGAAAGTTAATAAATTAGAAAAATAATATGAATAAACACAATATCAAGGTTATAGACATTAAAACAATAGAGGCAATAGATCTTTTAAAGATATGTAAATATACAGAGCCTGATTTTTCAATAAAGCACAGAAATCTGGTAAATGGATCTGTAAAAAACAGCACGTAGTAATACAAATGTTCCCTTTTATGCAAAGGCTGATATGAAAATTCATATTCAAACTTACGACATTTTAGTTTTTGCTTACACCTGACACCTGCGTGGAATCCCAGTGAAGTCTTTGTTGAATTCAACATACTTCTGTGCCTGTGGAGGACACTGTGGATTTCAGAGGGACTCCAATGGTTAATCCATATGAAGATCATTGCGGTCTTGTGTTGGGGTCCACTATTCTTCACATGCATTATCCATAATGCACAGCACTCAGAGTGGAATTTATTAGTTTTATTTTAACTTAATGTCATCAAATTGAAATCCAAAACACATAGATCTTCCTCATCGACTCCAATAGTATCATTATAAAGCCAGTTAAGCCTTGTCTACACTAGGACTTTACCTCAGCCCCATATGGTCAATTTTCTAAAGTATTTGTCCACATTACCACACCTGTTGCATCAAACTTAAGGGCTGTGGAAGTCAATTTCAGAACTCCTGCTTTTCACACGGCGTAACACTATTCCCGACCATGTACGGTCAAATTTATGGCAGTGTGTATGTAGTAGAAGGGCCTTTCCTGCATGGCCCATGTTCTGAGCCTAGTCTTGAGTGAGCAGCACACTATGGCACACACGGAAATGTCTTCAAGTGCAGTGACTTTGAGGATTTCTGCTCCCATGGGCTCAGTTCCCAGGGCACAGAAGAGCACCAGTGTGGAGTGTCCAGGACATCTTGGACCTCATCGAGGTGTGGGGAGATGAAAACATCCTCATTGATCTCTGAAACAGCAAGTGGAACAGCAAGATTTATGGCAGGATAACAAGCTGCATGGAAGCTAAAGGCTATTCTAGGAACACCCAGAAATGCTGAGTAAAAATCAAGGAGCTGCACCAGTCCTACCACAAAGCAAACGAGAGAATATGCTCCCAATCACTCGGTGTGATTTTGAGAAGACTGATATCTCACATGGCAATCTGGATGAAGGAGGAGGGGAAGCTATTAGCTAGCTGCTGCCCTTCCTTCCCTCCTGCCCACACGCTTCTGCAGGATAGGGGGGGCACCTGGCTCCTAGCAGGCTGCAGCAGCCTCCCGGGGCAGGGGGCGTGTTAACCCCCACAGCACCAGCTAGCAGCGCCCTTCCCCCGCAATCACAGCCACAGGGTCCTGCATGGCCAGGCACAGCCTGGCCCGGGTGGCCCTGGGCTGCACTCCATCGGCGGTGGCTGAGCCAACTAGGCAGCACACGTTCTGCCCGGGGGCGGGCCTGTGAAAGCGTCGTGCACCTGGAGGTGGGGCCACGCGTCCCGGGGGTGGACCCGCGCATGCGTCATGCGTCCGGAAGCAGGCCCGCGCATGTGTCGTGTGCCTAGAGGTGGGGACGTGCACCCCGGGGGCGGCACCGCGTGCCCCGAGGGCAGCGCCACGTGCCTGGGGCCCAGGGCGCCAATCTGCCCGGGGGCGGGCCTGTGAAAGCGTCGTGCACCTGGAGGTGGGGCCACGCGTCCCGGGGGTGGACCCGCGCATGCGTCATGCGTCCGGAAGCAGGCCCGCGCATGTGTCGTGTGCCTAGAGGTGGGGACGTGCACCCCGGGGGCGGCACCGCGTGCCCCGAGGGCAGCGCCACGTGCCTGGGGCCCAGGGCGCCAAAATGGCTCGGGCCGGCCCTGCTGGGAGGCGGCATGTGCTAAACACACATTCCTACCACCCTTGGGAATTCAGTGGCATTAGGCTCACCATGACACACAAGAACTTGAGTATGGTTTGCTGCAAACTGGGATCCCTGGCTGCACTGCTATGGCATCTGTAAGGGAAACCAGGGCATCAAAAGACATGAGCACTCTGTCTCCCCTTTATCTCATACAAGGGGGGGAAGGAGTACATGAGTGCCTTATAGGACACTGGCAACATGAGCCCCTAACAACCCACTGCACGGTTTTGGACCCAGCAGACACTGTGAGCATAGCCCAGACGGCAGTGTTGCCCAAAGTGTCCCCGGGTGTATCTACACTGCACTGTTATTCCAGAAAAAATAATAGCATTCACACTGCAATTGCATTATTTTGAAAGAAAGTTGAAATAACAGATGGCTTTTTCTGACCAATAGGAATAAGGCCTCTTCCAAAAAAGCTTTTTCAGAAGAGGATAAGTGTGGATGCAGAATAGGGAATTCTTTTGAAAAAGGGGGCCTTCAAGACATCCCACAGGTGCCCTGCTGGCCACTCCATTCACGTTCATCAGGACTCTATAGGTCCTATTCCCCAGCAACTCTTAAAGCTGCAAACACAAGGGAAAGGGCTTGTGGCAGGAATCCAGCCCTCAGTGTCCAGCCATAGCACAGCTCACAGTGCCAGACATCTGGCCACTGTGTCGCAGCCATAAGCCCCCCAAGAGCCTCCTGACCATCCCAGGGAGCACTCTCAGGCTCTCAGGAGCCTGCCAGGGGCCACAAGAGGTGTGCACCATCCTGGTTTGGGGTGGAGATCCTGGCCCTCATCGAGATGTGGAGTGACGAAAAGGATCTTGACTCCAGCTGGTGCAATGCCAATATTGATGGCTGGACGGTCAAGAGTCTGGCCATTAAGGGCCATACCTGGACCCAGGAGCAGGTCCAGAATAACATAAAGAGCTCCGCCTGGCATACTCCAGGGCGAGGGAACGCAGCTCACCTCACTCCTGCTCCTATTATGATGACCTGCACTGCATCCTAGGGAACAGTGAAGCCCCCTCCCCACCTCTGGTGGTGGACTTGAGGCTGGAAACACCTGTGGTCACCTGCCCAGGGGTCCCAGTCAACAAGGAGGAGGAGGAGGAGGAGATGTCTAGCACTGTGATCACCATCATGGATAGTAGAGCCGGTACCCCACAACCAGGATGTATCCCAGGTATCATCTGAGGCTGGGGAGGGATCAGCAAGGGAGTGGTCTTAGTTTTCTCACACACACAGGGTCTGCATGGCACAAACTGGAGCTGCATCTGCATCCACATGCATGGACTGCAGCACAATGGCCAGGCCGAGAAGGCCAAGTGATAGTACCACAGCCCTTGGCACTCCTTTTTGGTGAGGGCACCCACACTTCTGACCCCTGGTGGGGGGGACACCCTCCCACCACAAGCCACCTTTAGCAAAATCGGCTGGCAGGAAATCAACCATGTTAGATTTGACCTTATCTTGTAGTGTAGATGTGTCCTTAATGTCTTAACTACTTTAATTTGCAAATCCCTAACTAGCTCTGTTTCCTCTCTTGTGTCAGACTGATACCACCTAATATAGATTAAAATATTTCAAGATCTACTATTATTTGATAACAATCTCCTTTCCAAATTAAATAACATTTCAGGAATTTTCAGAAAGCAGGTTAATTCCATTTGGGGGACAGACTGTATATCACATATGAAGATGTTACCCATTAGAATGGCGAACACCATCTACCCAAAATTCACCCCATTCATGAATTACCTACAAAGTAATAGGAATGATCTTATCTGAAAAGTTGGTGCATAACTACTCTGAATAAATAAAATCTCTTCATTAAATGTCATATTTGGTAAGATTATTTTAACGTTTATGGTTGCAACTTAGATTATCCTACTCATTTCAATGTTCCTAAAATAAAATTTTGCATTATGCATTAAGTTCATTTCACAGCCCCACATGCTGTATCATTCCCAACAATTTCTACTTTCCACAAATCAAACGATGGATTGTTTTGAGATACCTGAATCCAAATATTTGTGCAGTTCAATGTGAATTCATCTTTTCTGTATCTGTGTGCACTAGTTATGATTGATTTTAATTTTAGTAATTTAACAAGGAAATACACTACTGCATAGATCACAGATAAGAATATATGCTTACATGTTTCCTCACTACCCCTTACTTCCCCCATACACAAATGCACAGGAGAGTCACTTACTGCAGGGTAAGGATTTGCAAAGGAGATATTATATGCTAACGAGAATGAAACAGAGACAGGTAGATAGAATGTTCTTGGAAGATTGACAACAGATCCATTTTATATCTGCAGGGAGTAGAGCAGTAGGTGTTAATTGGGTCTAATTTGAATATCAGGTACATGAGGCATTAATGCTGTATAAGACATTTCTTATATTGGTAGAAAATCATCCTAGACCTTGATAATCAGATGTCTAGAAAAATGCATATTTATTTATAAGTGTTTTATGATGCTTTTTGCAATGGTATCTGAGCACTTTAAAACCATTAGTGAATTCAGTCTAATAACTGCTGTGAGATTCTGATTTTGTAAATAAGGAAATTGAGACTCAGAGGTGAAAGAACTTGTCCACGATTACACAGAACTTAGACAGAAATCCAATTTTGCTGGAGTCATCTTGCTAGTGTCTTCTAATTTTTTGTACTCAGGAAGGAGGTCCAGCAGTCACCGGTGGGACATTAATGATTCCGATTGAGGCCTTCTTTCCTGTAGTATTTTACCACCCATGATGGATATGTATAGACACTAGCATATGCCGCCTTAGGACATTCAAGAATTCTGCTTTCGTGTTTAAGTTATATTCTGCTGATTTCACTTTCATTTTGTACCTTTGGTTGAAACAGATTTGCTGTGCAAAGGAGTGCACATATTTCTTACATTAAAAAGTACTCAGGCTTGCAGAGTGTCAGAGGAAAACCTGGGGAACAATCTGGAAACAAAAGGGAAGAGAAGAAAAGAAGGTCTTTCTGGCTATGCCCTCACTATTATCGGAAAAACAGTTGTTTTTCCAAAAAAATCGCGTTCTTTTGAAAAAAAATCAAAACAGAGGGGTTTTGCTGACATTGGTAAACCTCTTTCTATGAGGAAGAAGCGACAG